AGACGGTGTGTCTCACTCATATCTAGTAAGTACTATATATTTCTGCGTTGAAGTGAAGCAGATATTCTGTGGCTATCGTTAGTGCCTTCAATGTAAAATTTTTCATTTATCATGCTCTCGTCGTACCCATTTTCCTGCCCAGGTTCTCATTAATTTCGACCTAAGTAATCATGCTTGATATTTTGCGTAACGTATAGAATTTCAGCAAAAGCATCCATTTTTGTGGCCTTTGTCCCTTGCCCTAAGGAAAAATCAACGCTACTTCCCGAATTCCACGCACATCCTGAAAATTCTACGTACATTTCCTTAGACGTCGCTTAAATTTCCACAGAGTTCGTGTACATTCTCGAAGCGTTTTTTGTCAACAGCCCGTTGTCTTCATGAATCAATTATACACCCCATTAACGACATAGTAGACGGGAGACTTATATTTAAAGGTCGGGATAAAGCGTTTTCCAACACTATATGCTCTAAATAATACGACAATAACCTACATTTTAGGAAGTAGCTCTCCCAAATCTCACTTAAAAACATGAAAGTGATGAAAAAGACTGGGTTGCTATAAAAACGAAGGGCGGTGTTATTTCCATCCTGAGTTGAAGCCTTTTAGAAGTAGTTTCATTGTTGTTTATATTCGTTCACGACACAGAGTTTAGTGTAGTTTCTACTTCAGTGTCGTATTTTAACTCACACTTTTCTGTTCAAGATTTTCTCACTCATTTCTCACCCTCATCTTGAAAGAAGTTACAGGGCACAAATAAACCCATCAGTGGCTTGGTGTTCGAAAAAAGCATGTACAATGGTCAAACCAAAATGTGATTCTTCTGGTTTAGCTATTAAAACAGGTGGTATCCGTTTTCAGAAGACAAAGGGTCAGCATATACTAAAAAATCCCCTCGTTATTACCACAATGGTGGAAAAGTCTGGCATCAAGTCCACAGACTCCTTGCTTGAAATTGGTTCTGGAACTGGTAACCTCACTGTCAAGTTGTTAGAAAAGGGAAGGAAAGTGTACGCATTCGAAATAGATCCAAGAATGGTTTCGGAATTGCAAAAACGTGTGCAAACCTCGTAAGTTCCTGTACATGATTCCTATAATCATGTGACAACCAGTAAACCGTTTAATAATTTCTGTCTTACGTGACTAGGTACTGGATGTTATTAGTATTATTAATTCGTCAACCAGTTATACATTCGTATATTTGACTTTGGACCCTAGCGTGTGTAGGCTGTCAGTACTACCCGATTAACGTAAGTGGGGTGGGTTTCGAACCGGTGGCTTCCGCAGACCTGTGGTGTCGACAGCTCTCACACTTAGGGTGTGGCTCAAAGTCAAGTAGTTAGTGAAACTGTGAGTCCCCACTTGGACTTCCCTAACTTTATAGTAGTAACAAACGTTCATGTGAATCTACAAATGGCCATATCAACTCTTAGGTGTCGGTGTAATAATTAATTATTAAATGTTGTGGTTACCAACTCTTACTAATATCCCTACCCTTGTGTTCATGTTTCAGTTGTCGGTTTTGTGGCTGTTGTACAGTACATATAGAGGTTTTAGACAGTCAACTCTATACAGCAAGATTGGTCTCATGACAACACCATTACCTTTAATATATCACCATTTTCTTGAGGATGATGGTTCACATTTGATGTTTGTGTTGAATACATATGACTACATGTAGTTTAGTCCCTCGGTTAACTCAACGTGTATATAAACCTGATGATGTAAGTTTCAACACTGAAAGTAACGATGTATCAAATAATAGTCAAATTAGCGTACCGTTATGGTGTGTTAGTTACTTGAGCTGTAACTAATAAACGTTTACAGTTCCCAGGAGCTAGTTATTTGAACTGTCATCACTATGGGCAAATACACATTTCTAGGCCACACCGTTACTCACACAGCATTGTTACTGGATATGAGCAGCCCTTCAAAGACAATGACGATCAAAATGGACGTTCTCAAAACAGAGGTCGTAAACACTAAAAGGAGTCGATTCTAAGTAGTTCATTTTGTTTCTAAATAGTTGTACCATAAGTCAGATTCAATAACAGCTTCCGAGAGTAACCATTCAATGACTTAGTATCATTTGGACAGAACAGAGTTCTCAACTGAGATCTACTATTGAACGAGTCGAAAATTTAGATGTAAAAAAATTGTAAGGTACATGGGACAGAACAAGAGAGGATGTTAGGGTGATATGAAACACATTTACAGTAAAATATAGTTTGATTGATTGACGTACAAGGTAAGTCACTATCCCCATTACTTCCTGTCTCTGAAGTCACTAGAATTCTTCTCTTACTTAAGGATTCTCCGTATTTTTTTGATATACCGACCTCACTGTTTGACAGTTTTATGAGAACCACATAGAAAAACTGCGTCTCTTTGATACTTTACACTCAAAATTACATTTTTACAAATAGATTTGATCACAGCCAGTACAGTAATTTAGAAAGAAACCGTTTCGGTTAACACATCTTGTATGATCAGGTTACTTTTCTGTTTTGTTATAACTGATCAACGTTGACAAAAGCTTCACAAGTAGTAACAATGCAATTCTCATATTGCACAGTTTCCCCTTTATTTAAATCCAGATACTTAGACGATTTGGCTCTGTTGTTCACTTCATTCTTCTCTAGTTCTGTTTGCTTTTACCTTATGCCTAATTTACGTGTTCTCAAAGTCGCTTGAGGCGTCTATCTGAATCATCAATTATTTGCGTCAAAAACTGTATAAGTAATTACTCCTAAAACTATAAGCCGTCTAACCTATCATCTGTCTATTCAAAAAAATCATTTGTAATATTAGTAACTATCAGTGTTAGGTTGATGCACTGCTACGTCTCATTTTTTTTAACTCCACTGGATGTACGCATTGCAGAAACGTTTTAAGCCAGTGCTTTTCATGAAATATTTGTCAGACCACATCGAACCAAACTAGAAATTCTCGTTGGCGATGCAATCAAAGCAAAATCATGGCCCAAGTTCGATCTCTGTGTAGCGAACCTGCCGTATAAAATCTCCTCGCCATTCATCCAAAGACTGATTAGCGCAGGTCGTGGTTTTAGAGCAGCAGTTGTTATGCTCCAAAAAGAATTCGCTGATCGTCTTACGGCTAAACCTGGAGATAAATTATACTGTCGTCTGTCAGCATCTGCTCAGTTCCACTTCAAAATTGAACAGTTGATGAAGGTAGGTTGTTAAGTATAGTCGCTATTTAAAACGACTTTTCAACTATTATTATTATGGCTTTAATGGTTTTTGCTTTTTCTTCATATATGTTAGGTGGAAACTCGTCTTTCATACTTCAGGCCTATAAATTATTCTCATCCCACCACTCTTCTTTAGCCTCTCAGTCATCACGCGACCTGTTGGTATTTAAAAACTCGAATCACTTTGCGATGTAATATCTCTCTGTCCTCCTATAGGCTCATATATCTACCAAACAACTATAAATACGAATGTACAGCTTAAGTAAATTATTTTATCAAAAAAGAAAATCCTGTTTATTCTTATTCAACGACAATGAGATACTTTAATTATCAAAACGATAAATTCACGGTGGACGAATCCACTTGACTAGTTCTGACTCCAAAGTGAAACCGTCTAGAATTAGTTCGTATCGCTTAAAGATCAGAATATTCTTGAGCAACCTGTCATCAGACGCGTTCGGTTTTTAATAAACGTAGGTTTTCAGAAATATAGGAGCATTAAAATGAGTTTAAAAATATGTTATTTATAGGAAGTTTACAGAGTAAATCCCAGCATCAAATAACATTACTGATTCTTTACATTCCGCTTAATTTGACTTATTTGAAAAACGAAGGACTTTTCGCTACCGAAGGCTACTCAAAGTGTACTAATGCTGGAAATTTTCGGAAATACTTAAAGATTATAATGGGTGTGAATATTACTTAAAATCAGATAAGCATAACTAGTAAACTAGGAGTTAATTGCGTTTGTACTAACTATACAAATGGAACGGAATATCTCGTCTACTAGGAGTTCCAAAAGTTTGCGTTAAAATAGCTGCTCACTCCTAATTTTTTTAAACGTTTGATAAACATACACTGTAACTCCATTTATCTGTAGTTATAAATATTTGGGTTACTGTAAATGTTGTCCAAAGGCCACTAGACCCTTTCAAGAATTGCATGGAAGGTTATCTAAGGTCATTATTTACTGTCAATAGATTTGAATTCCTACCATACATTCGTGCTTCTGATCTTTTAAGGTTTTATCTCATGATGATGATTTAAACGTAAAGAGTAAATGATGATAGTTTGGGTCGAGCACTCAAATGGAGTTCTTTTTTATTTACGTATCATTAGCTACATCTCGGCTAAATTTCTCATTTGTATTTTTCAAATGTCGCTCTGGTAATAATTCGCAAAATGAAATCATTTAACATATAAGGAAGAAGGTAAGCGAAAAATGATCAAAGATGCATATCCATGTTCTTTCCCCCACTGGATTAGGGTATAATCCGTTATTTTAATGCATACTGTTAAGTCAGCGATTGAGCTTATTTTAAACTGTTAGGTAATCTAGGAAGCTAAACTGTGCACCCAGAATAATTTATCATTCGAATACTCGTACGTGTTAGAAAACGGCAACAAGATATACGAAAATGTCAGGAATTAACACCGCATGTACAAAACTTCACTACTATTTCAGTTTTTTATGTCACAGCTTACACCATTTTGTTGTTTAACCCTTATGTATACTATTCCTTCATTGTAAGTATGTTCAAATATCACAAACAAGCCACTAAATAAACCTTTTACAATTTATTTTAAATATTAGATCAATAGAAACAGTTTTCGTCCCCCACCGCGTGTTGATTCAGCTGTTGTTCGGATTGAACCCAGGCATCCATTACCACCTGTGACGCATTCAGAATGGGATGGATTACTGCGTCTTGTGTTTGCTCGCAAAAACAAAACGATCGGAGCTAACTTTAGCGGCAAGTCAATAGCTGCACATTTACGTAAGATTTACATGGAGACTTGTTGCACAAAAGGATTGTCACCAACTCCAGAGGTTATTGCCTGTGAGTCTACTGGTGTTTCAGCAATGGAGGAGAAAATAACAAGTATACTTCGAGATTCAGGTTTCGAGAAAAAGCGCGCCCGTACTTTGGACGAAGATGACTTTCTTAGATTATTATTAGCCTTTAAAAAAGAAAATATAAATTTTGGTTGATTTTTCTGTAATGTTCTTATTTTGTAAAGAATTGAAAACGCATGATACATTGTACATAGTCGAGTATATCTCGGCCGTACGAATATTATGCTACAGTATGACAAAAACCCTAACGATCTTTCCTATGATCTACGAAGATTATTTCCATTTCGGTTCCCATGAATAAATGATGGAGACTTCATTAGAATGGGAAATAAATTTATCTTAGAATGCCCTTTTAAATAACATTTACAAGTCAAAACTCGTAATAATATCATGCAGATACCTTTTTGATTGATCCATTCTCTATTCGTACATCAAATCCAGTTTCAGCAGCTACATGTGTTTGGCGTTTTAAAGGCTGATATAAGAGCTGTGAAGAAATATCTTCGAAGTCGCTCAAACGGAAATCAAGTGGTGGAAAGTAAGAAATACACATCGCAGCCCATCAGTTTCCACAGCAGTATTCGGTTAATCATTATACAACCAACTACCATCTAGGATCCAATCAATAACAGCTTTGCTGTTAGACTTTATGTTACTCCACCGCTCGAGAATCCCAGCACTCTGAAGTCAAGTAATTATACTGTTCTTTGTTATTGTTCTTAAACTAAAGCATCGATTAAAAATGTGTTTCTAATGGGTAAGGTCGGATTCAAATCAGCGTCTAAGTACAGAAATTTCGAGGCCTCAGCCATTAACAATAACCTCATAGCAAGCTTCGGGAAACTCGTGGATGATATTTTCGGAGAATAATATAGAAGAGACACTAAAGATCGTCTTTGAATTTCATGCTATCCAACTTGTAATTGATACTTTGAAGTATGAGAAAGACTGAGTGTGCTAGGGAACTGCCAGAAACATAATTTCACATGCAACAGAGAATAGTCGTTTTGGACTAAACGTCTTGCTATCGTCAACCTAATATGTGTTTGCCCCTATAAAAAAACCTTTAGGTAACAAAATGAAACCAATTTTATGTGAACTATGTACAATATACTTACAAAATTAATACGATCAATAGAGTATGTACATTTAAGCTATACAAAGAGTTGTCTTGTGGACAGGAGTGGACCAGCAAATTGTTCGTGACTTTTTATTGTACGACGTTCTTTAACAAGCTTTAATCGAAGGTTATCTGCTTGACGTCTTACTTGTCGTAAAATGGATCGCTTGTAATGACTATAAGTGGTTCGACAACCAGGATGTGATGTAGATAAAGAGCAAGTTCCATTTGTTACAATAGTATTAGAAAATTTGGAAGTCATATTTTTAGTTTCGGGAGTCACATTTTCGAAGGGGTGCAAGTTGAAAACAGTATCCGTCGTGATTGTAACTTCTCCACTTGACTTGGTACTAGACAAGGTGTCCGATCTTAATGGAGCATGAAACACTTCAGTTGTCCATTCCAACTCGCCTTTACTTTCGTGGTGGTCAGTATGAAGAGATACTGGGAAATCAAAAATGATGTATTAAGTACTTGATTCTAATCCATTACAATATTCATTATTAAAGAGAATAATTAAGCAAATATTAAAAACTGGAAATTTTCACCAGTGTGACTACTTTAAGGCTAAACTATTCATACTGTCAAATAATTATTAAGTTTTGACTCAAGTTCTGCTTAAAATGAATTCGAAGCTGAAAATTATGAACACAAGATGGAACTGGCTAACATTTAAAGAATGAGAATACAGATAGAACGCAGCAAAGATTTGTGCACGGTTCCTAATCCGGCTTAGTGATGTTTTACAATTCTTAATTAACTATGTACATTATTATATATAAGTCTTGAATAGGAATCATAAGCCTGAATGGTTTACAATTTCATAAACAGTGAACTGTGGTTGAAAACTGTCCAAAAAATACCACTCAAAATGTGTATCTAACTACCTGTTTTTATTCCTGAATTCAACATCAACTACTTAGAAACGTCTCACACAATCACCAAAGTGAAGATAAGCATGACCAAAGCAGTCAGTCAGCTACAACGTAGGACCAGTCACAAATATGCATCGGTCCAAGTTGCCACACCTCATTAGCAAAACCAGATAAACACTAAATTCATAGAAGTAGTTACTTCAATGGTAGCAATATATAAAAGAAAGATTGTATATAACGATATAGTGCAGGAAAAAAAGAATTAGTTCATAAAAGGAAAGATATAAAGCAATTTTAATTTCATGGTCTAAGGAAAGACAAAGAGTGCATACACCAAAGCACCTCTCCCCATTGTTTCATTCGAGCAGTAGGGTTAGGCAGGGTTGCCCAATCTCACTATTCGTCCTCAACTTTGCCACTGATGACATTCTGGAAACAGCTCTGATGAATGTAAGTAATGGCGGTATGGGTCTGTTGCCTGGAGAAAGACTTCTTGACCTTGAGTATGCGGATGACATTTTTTTACTGTGCAATAATGCCCAAGCCATGCAATCCACACTTAATCAGTGGCTGTAGGTATCGTGTATGCTTCGCACCTTCTAAGTGCAAAAGTACTCCTACAAGACTGGCAGGACTCTGATTCAGCACTCACCCTGGGTAGTGAGCAAATAGAAATAGTCGGAAAGTCCATGTATCTAGGTAGCTGCATAAGTGCTGGTGGTGGCGTGAGTGATGAGATCAATGCACGTAATTTCTTTGAGTGGAAGGATTCTTTGTGGTTGTATTTTTGCTAATTGAACTGTCTCTCCCATTATTGTTATTTCATTATGATACACTAATTTCTGTTCATTGTTGTACTTCTTCTTTCTTATACGCACCTTATATTCTTTATATCTTTACATTCTCATTATTATTGTGTAGCGCATATGTATCTTGTGCCCGTTTGTACCAATATTTATGTGTTCAAATAAACAAAATAATAAAATTGTGATTGATTCTGAGCCATGTCACCAAGAGTCTCCGACTATCTGTTACGAAAGTCACGCCGACCCCAACCAAGTAGTCTGCATCTACCAACATGGCGCAGACTAGAGGTTAGTGTCTTCAAGCACTGATGCCACATTTTGGCTTGGCTGCCCCTAATTCTCTTCCAACCATCTCCAACACCGGTTAGCGTTGCACGTCGTGGTAATCGGTGTTCAGGCATACGTAACATGTGGCCCAACCATCTCAATCAATGAAGATTTACAACCTCATCAACTGATTTACCATCAAACCCTAATATCCTAGGTCTAACGTCACTATTACTTACCCGGTGATCCCAACAGATGCGAGCAATATTTCTAAGACATTTGTAATCTAGTACTAGTAGCTTACGAGTATCTTCTACTATTGATGGCGACGTTTCTCAGCCGTAAAGTAAAACAGAACGAACAGACGCGCAGTATACTCGTCCCTTAATTGAAAGACGGATATCCCGCCTTCGCCATAGGTGACGTAAGTTGGCGAAAGCCAAGTGAGCTTTTCGAATCCGTGCTGATATTTCGTCAGACACCAACCCATTAGGGCTGATCAGACTTCCAAGATAAGTGAAGTTGTTGACGCGTCCGACTAATTCACTCTGTATCCTTAATTCAGGTGTTGACGCAGGCCAGTCCTGAAGCAACGACTCTGCATTTTATCAGCATCTTCACCAAACAGGACTGTCATCTGCGTATTCTAAATCGATAAGTGGACCTCCTGACCAAAGCAAACTTGGTGTGAACAGAATATTGGTATATCGGAAAAAAGATGACTACGGAAAACAAAAAAGTAATTATTGGGAAGAATATCTGATGATCAACCACATGTGATGTTCCAGTAATTCGTTAATTAGCCAAGAGCTGTTTAAAAAATAACGCACAAGAGATTGTTATACAAGAGATATACGTAGTAATTTAATGTATGTCTAAAATCCATAAGTTAAAAGGGCCCTGGAATGCAGAACGATAATAAATGATGTGTTTATATATAGTCAATGCATTTTACTTATTAGTTGCAATAAGAAAAATACATATTAAATACACCAACTGAAATGCATAGTTTTTTGCATACTTCTAGAAACTCTAATCTTAGTTTTTACATTAAAGCCAGTGATAATATATAGAATGATGTCATGCAGAAGATTATAAATCAGAATGCTAATTTATTTATTTTAACATATAGATATTGGTACAACGAGGCACCAAATACATATGCGCCACACAAATCTCATTTGATATGTGTGAGGGCTGTGATACTGCCCGGGCGCCCAAACCGAAGCAGGATCAGAATGCTTAGTCATTGCCCGCAAGTTTTAGCGTTCCATAATAATCAATTCAGTATGAAAATAAAACTTGATTTGGTTAAGTTTAAGTATAATGCTGAATATGTGAAGTTCGAGAAAGCAACTTCAAAGCTATGACGCATTTGTCGATCTAGGATAATATTTATCGAACCATATCAAACCCAAATGTTACTTATGAACCGAAAAACAACCAATTTTATTGGGGAAAACATCGCTAGGTAGTTACAAGACGTTTGATTGCTGAAGAGAATACATGTGAGTATAGGAATGAAATGACGATGAATGAGTGTGTAGAGACACAAGATGGATTAACATTTTCCCGTAGTGTTGATTAGAACTTTGGGTTAAGAATACAGTTAAGAGTTGTGTTTAGGGTTAGGATTAAGATTATGCCAAAACTAGATGTAGGGTTACAATTAGGAGTTAGTGTGTACATATACACGATTAAGAAAACACAGCAAACTTAGAAACGTCGAAAATTAATGCGAAAGCAGTATATTCTTCGCAAATTCTTTGATTTTGCATTATAATTCGTCGATATTTGTTGTTTGATGACTGATCATTTGATAGTATCGTTTATTTTTTACGTTTGATTCTTAAAGTAGCAACTAAATAGTAATTTACAATAGAATCTGACAACCATTCAGCGAAACTATTTCAGATATTCTTTATATTACTTCTGTTAGACTGTGATCGATTGACTATGAAAACCCAATTTCAGCCAACATATGGGTAACTTTGCAAAAATAACCAATGAGTAACATGATTTTGATTCATTCGTGTAAGTGGTCACATAATAAATTGATATGATTTCCAAGAATTGTGTCTAACATTTAAGTCTCGATTTATTGGACGGTGAGTGACCTACAAACTGATTTCCCCAAATCGCCTATGAGCTTTTGCTGAGTTTATTCTGGCAATACTCTGTATATAAGCATGTTATCTTACTAAAGAGAAAACCTTTTCTTTTGGCTGGTAGTTTTTTCTTTAAACTAAAATCACTCGACAGCTTACGTCAATTTAGTTGCTACTGTCATATTGCACCATTGCATATAATCGATTGATCAACATAATTTTCTTTTATTTTAGCAATCAGAAATCCGTTCATTAAAATACTAATCCATAACATAAACAAGTATACATATTAAATTATTTGTTTAGAAAAGGCTTGAAGAATTTATCATCTTACAAATAATCAGGACTAAGTCAAATAACAATTTTAAAGCTGAAACGACAAGGACTCATCAATAAAGAAAACGTAGACTTACTTTCTGAAACTTCGAGAAGCTTTATATTGTCTGACACAACACATGTTCGGACATGCTAATAAACCTTGGAAAAGAAAAAAGGCAGTGTTCTGTCAGGACAGTATATGTCATGAGAACACGCCGACCAAGGACGAAGCTTACGCAACAATTACAATATGAGAAACAAAAGAAAAACCAACTAATTGAAACAATAACTGTTTACCGGCAGGATATCTACACTCACCAGTTGATTCATGTTTAGAAGATAGAAAATTCAATGGTAGGAAATAGTGTATGCACTAATAAGTACTATAATAATATAATTTCACTTTTACCTCTTTATTTTGACAAAAAATTAACTCGTTTCCCACCATACATTTGACAATTGTAACAGGTAAACATATTCCATTTCTCATGCATGAAGCACAAGTGAGGAAGTCCATTTTGGGGTTACCGTGTGTTCCAGAACAATCTACCAAATGACTAAATGTTTGACTTGAAGCGGAAACAGTCTAAACATATTCTGGAAAGGAATTTTTGAAAATTACAGGGTACTATTCGATAAAGCGATCGAATTTCTGTTATTTAAAGTTAAGAATGGTCATGTGGTTATCGAATACCACGCATCAATGTACGCGAATAAGTTAAATTATTCATCGGATACTTGGACATGAGCCACAATCTAGGTATGAGGGTTAGTGATACCACTTAATTGCCCAGGTTGGAGTTGGTGGTGTGGGGTTCAAAACTGGCTAAAAATCGAACGCCTTAACTTCTAAACCACTGTTCCACATTAATGTGCAGGACCTGCGCGTGAAACTTTACAGACCAGAGGAAACAACAAGACGAAAATGTGAACAGCAGCTGCCAGTAGTTTCATCCTACGTGACTCAACAATAGCAGGATGTTTGGTGCTAGTGGGACGGTATGTTTGACATCAGCACATTCCTTAACTAATTACTAAGAAGCCCCGATAATGGTTTTCCAGAAAGCATTGCAATAGCAACTCTGTGTTACGAGTTTTACAGTGGATGGACATTAGCAAAAATGACAAACCGGGTACTGGTAAACCTTAAGGATGAAGGTATAGCTCTGGTTAGGAATTTAACTGTATGGTTCAAACAAGCATGCCAAACCGAAAGTGCCCTTTCACTAGATGAAAATGAGGATAATGGTCCAGTTCTAGCAGTTAGATAGACTGGAATCTTAGCTAAAGTCTGGTATCTAGACAATCCCATTTGACTGGGATCTCTAGTCGTTTGTTTATAAGAAAGGACAAAAAAACTCTTGTAACAACCACAGGGGAATCGGAATGACTAATCTAGTACCTGAAATATCAGCTTCAATGATTTGCCAATTCCTAACTAGGTATCGTGAAAGGTAAACCCAGGAAAAATCAGGTTGGCCTCAGACCTGGACGTAGTGGTATTCACTAAATATTCGCCTGCCGATGTCCGACGACAATTATTTTTTGACCTTGAGACAGCGTTTGACTCAGTTGAACGGGTTTTGTGGCTGTGACTGTCAATGAGTTCCAAAAAAGCAAATCAGATTCGTGCGGGCTCGCTTCGAAAAAAAAAACTACTGGTCGCGTCAAAGCTTATGGCTAACTTTCAGTCTATTTTCACTATTTTTATTTAACTTTGTTAAAGACGTTTGTTCAGAGACAATGCTCTCACTGTCTGAATTTCCAGGGGCTGATCTACCAGGAGATTCACTTGTTAACTTAAAATACGCAAATTATATAGTTCTGTTCGGTGAAGACTTTGACAAAATGCGGTTTTTTGACAGTCTTACATAACAATGCTAGCATGTTTAGGATGCAACCCTCTCCAAATACAAAATGTTTCTTCGGAACTGGCCTGAGTCAACGCATGAATTGACGGTAAAAAGTGGATTCGAGTGCATCAACCGTTTGAGTTACCTAAAGAGCCTCATCACTCCAAATGAGCTGGTTTCTTATGAAATCTCAGTACAGATTCAGAAAGTTCGACTGGCCATTGCTAGCTTGTGTCACTTGTGACGTAGGCAATCAACGGGTAGGTTTACTGAGCAGCAATTTTCTTCGTTCTAACAAATGGCTGTGAAGTGTGGGTTTTAAACATAGAGAATATTTGTAGGTTACTAATAATCAGTTATGCCTTTGAACTATTGTTTGCGTATTTTGGGACCATAGAGTTAGGAATTCCGAGGTTAGACGACGAGTACTAGGTAAATATGGTGAGTCGATAGATGTTTTAGTGAATCATTATCAACTGAGGTGATTAGAACATTTACTACATATGGCCATCTACCGAATACCTCAGGGCGCAATGATAGGTGTAAAAGTAGATTAAGAGAAAGGCAAGGGCGGCTAAATCAAGACATGGCACCAGTCCGTGGAGTCAGTAACAGTTGAATTAGGCCATACTAATAACGGATGTAGACTGCCTGGTTTGTGTAAGCATGATTGTCGTAACAAATGGTTAAACTAGATAACATGGCTTAACACCGTTCGTTCTAAATGGCACAGGAGCATTTGCTTTATCTCCCCTTAAAACCTGAGTCCTGAAATCTCTTTAGACCTCTTTGTTTTCTTTTCCCATATCCAGTATTTCTTCTACTATTACTGATGCCATTACCACTTCCACTACACTGGAACAGGTCACATATACAAATACCACAAGGCAGGCAATAAATGAAAACGAGGCATAGTAGTCTGTTCACCTGATTAACGTTACAGTTTACAGGTTGGACGTGTTGATGAGGACAAATATCTGCACCTATGGTTTTAGTACATGATAATCCGGGTTGGCAAATAAAGGTTCCAAGTCATTTCTGTTTATTGACTTGTATGAAAACCGGGCCGAGTTTATGTAGCATGCACATTGAAAATTGAATCAGGCATAGCGGCGCATAACTCAGAAAACTATCTAACTGAGCAAAACGTTTTTATTATGGATTCCGGGCTAAACAGATTGCTATGTTATGGTAAAGTGTACTTTCAAAGTAAACCACAAATTCTCGAAGAAACTTTGGTAAGGTATGATTTTTAAGAGCATTTGTAATAATTTAGAACTCGCCATTTTGTAGGGAATTTTGTGATACCTAAAGGTAGTTCTAGTCGGTTATATATATGCAAAGAAGATTAATAAAGCTTAGGTATTGTAGTCATTTATCAGACCACTGTATTAACTCTCTCCCTTCCAGCAAAATGAGGATATCAAAGTATCCAATATACCGAATAATTTGAAAGGAAATTCTGCAAGAACTTAAAATCTATCCAAAGACTTTTGCCAGAAACAAACTTTTGTTAGTAATTGCGTCGAAATAAAGCAGCCTTTTCTAAACTAGATATAAAGTAATTTACTATTAAACTTAATAGTAATATTCCCACCAAATCAAAATTGATCTATGAATGTAGATAGCAAGTGTGGAATTCTCCGTCTTTTGATTCAATCTCATTTAACAAATTATTGGCACATCAGACTACTTAAACAAATGCATCATAGGCGGGTGGAATTTTACAGATAACAAGTATATGCATCTCAGTAATTCAACTTCAATACAGTTGAAAACTCACAAAGATGCAGTTTTCAGTATTTGGTTAATTTGCATCTAGCCTGGAGGTACGTTGTGTATCCGGGATCTATAAAGAGCAGTGTGGATGAGGATCTGGAAGAAAAGAGAACAAACAAAAGTGAGTCGACAACTCAGCAAAGACAACACACTGACATTTAATAATAATTAGCTACAACACGACGGTAAGATTAATAAAATACGGTAATGCAACATGAGGGCGTGAGATCTAAAATACGTTCAGTCCAATTAAGAGTACACTAATGCATATTGAATACGGTAATGAACACCGATGCACCATTAATGGGATACTACTTCCATGAATGCATCAACAAAAGGACCCAGGAGTCACGATTCGGAAACTGAGAGTTGTAATGAAGGAGCTGATAAAGTTTATCAATTGATACAATCACTTTAGAGACCTAATAAATGCTACGACAAAGATATGTTTCGAATCTCCAACCCCATCTATGTGAGTCCCCACCTAGTATCCTGCATCCAAATCCTTCGTGTCCTATTAAAGACGCTGACGTACTTGAGCTCGTTGTGTACGAAGTAACATAACTCACCATGAGCTTTTCCTAATATTTTAAGATGTGAGAACAAATTGGGCGAGACTATGATTTATGGACGAACCAATAAGATATAAGATAACAAGTCACGAATTTTAGTGCAGAATTCATCCATACATTTTGGCTAAATAGAGCTTTGGCATTATAGCTGATGTCAGTTCGTGATGAAAACCCTAAATCTAATTTTTAACCCTACCCAACAACTGTAAATGAGAATTCTAACTCCTTTATAACAATCATTTAGTCCTAACCAGTAGTTGTTCACCCTCAAGGTCAATTCAGTGTAGCTCAAAGGTCGTCCATAAATTATAGTCTCACCCTGTGTTAATCCTGACAGATTTCCTCTCACTGGAGGTCCAGCTTCTTGAAAATATTCACTGATGAGGCTGATACTTGTTCAGGTTAGGGGTGTCTTGCTGACAGGGTGCCCGATCTCCGGATTTTGGGGAGAATCTGGAGTTCCCCACGAACTCAAGTGAAAATTCATAGTTTTCAAGAAAGTTCGTGGAGATCTTTGGGGTTTCTGCTTCGTTTCCCTGAGCTATAGCTTACCCCAGACAAAAATGTGTTCCCCAAAATCAAGAGATCAGGAAAAATGATGTCCTTTCAGAAGTTCGTACTCTAAACAGTGATTTGTGTGCCAACATTTTTGATTCATTTGCTTCCTCTACGGCTTATCATATCCCAGGCCACCAGGAGAAATCTTAGAGTGGGATCTCATTCCGCTAGTGTTCATTGGCTACAACACCCCAACCGAATATGTGGCACAAGCCCCACCGGTAAGTGCTTTTGAGTAAAGACTGAGTATTTACCGAAACACATCGTGAAGACTAACATAAACTAACTGACCAACCTAATCGAAACTCTCGTTCAAAAACCGCTCTTCAACAATATCCAATATCCAAATCTTAGTGATTTTATTGTACGAACTAATGAGTTTCTAGGTACTCCTTATTTGACTTTGGGTGATGACTCCATATTTTTCATACCATAACAATAACTGTTCTTTCAAACTCTCGTCAACCACGAGCGCGCTTTTTGAAGGAAAAGTTTAGTCCTCAATTGATTTGTATTACTCAAACTTGTGCTGTGTTCCTACGCAACGAAAGTACCATTTCTGACCTAGAGTATCTATTCTGAGCTATACTTTTAGTGGATTGCTTTTTTTAGTTTCAGTCAACTTAATAGCTAACTGCGGTTTTGCCTCAGCTCACTATCCGGTTTTCTTTGTAGTTTTTCACGTAAAGACTAGTTTCACTTTATCCTAACCCATTTTTATCCATCTCGACAGGTCTTCTGAATACGTTTTTCAA